CATGGGAAATTGGCACCTGTTAACCGGTGCCAAAGAGGGTATTTGTCACCGGTTAACCGGTGCCAAATCTTCAGAGATTTGGCATCCCTCAAATACACAACGGTTCAAAACCGGTGCCCATAGGGTGGTTTGAACCGGTGCTTATTTATGTTTTTTGCCTAGTGTTAGTTGGTATTTGCTTACCTTTCTCGTCCCTTGTGAGGTTCAATTTGTTCAAGCCTACATCAATTTGTTGAGCGGCGTTTTAGGATCCTCAACTATGCATGTTTAAATCCTTGCGTTGATTACTAGCTCCCGAGATCGTGACCTATCACTTTTAAGGGAGGAAAAGGGCACCATTTCTCATTTTTGTTTATGTTTTCTTTTATTTAGTTACAAATTCGATTTTCCATTTTGCATCAACCTTCTTGCCAACCACTTTGAGCCTAATGTTTCCCATTCTTGTCTCAACCGCATTACAAGCCTAATGACCTATGTTTTACCAACCCTGTTAGTTAGTGAAGCATTTGGCATGTGAGGGTAATGTAATGAGCGTTGTGATCATGAGTGTGAATTAAATGGAGAGTTGGTTTGGAACAAAGATTTTAAATGTAAGCTTGAATATGAGCATGCGAGAAAAGCTTAAGAAGAGTGATGCAAATGCAAAATATATATATATATATATATATTTGAAATTGGTATATATTTGAATAAGGTTGGTAATGTGTCGAAATCGAAATGACGGATGTTCGTTTGAGTTGTGGTTGTTTCTTGAGTTTTGTCTAAGAGAGTTGGCCATTCTCTTGCTTCACTTAGGACTTGCCACCACTTTTTCAAATGCTCTCCCTACCTCTACCTTGAGCCGTGTTATTACAACCCTAATAAAGACCCTTAGACTCTAGGAGTGCGTGGTCAATAACCTGTGGAGGGAGATGGTTTTCAACCCTATGGAGAGAGCATGCATGGTTGAGATGTCGAGATGATCTTTTACCTCCTCAAAATGAATCTTTTTTCGGTTCCTTCGTGGAATCATGAGGAGCCATCTAGGGGGACGATTTGAAACTAGTGGGGAGAACGCATACCGTTTTAGAGGGGACTAGGACGGAGAATGACTCACTAGCTTAGGCTTGACTCTTGAAACCATTGGCATCTTGAAGCGTGCTTGCATCATGTAATTGAGAAGGGCTAGTATTCTTTGACGTTTGTTTATCATGGTTGAGTCCGAATAAAGCATTTGTCCACCCTAAAACTTTGATTGCTTTTCTATGCCTTGCCACATTATGTTTGTCTTTGTATTGTTTGTTTTTTTTCTTTTCTTGGTTTTGCTTGAGGACAAGCAAGAGGCAAGTGTGGGGGATTTTGATGAGTGGCATTCATGCCACCATTTCAACCTCTTTCACTAGCGAATTCCCCCAATTTGTCACTTGTTTGCACGTTTTCTTACCGTTTTTACTCCTATTTCAGTCACTTTAGCTCCCTCTCGTGTTTTTCGTTTCCTTTTATCTTCTACTTTTTACCTTCATTTGTGTGTTTTGATAGCTCCTAGAACTCGTGGGCGAATTTTGGATTGTTAGACGAAGTGGAGTTGCTAAGGAGGGTCGTCAAGGGAAGAGGAGATGCTGCAAAGGAGAGGGCGCGCTGCTCCAGCTAGCCGCAGGCGCGGGCCTCACAGCCGCGGGCGCGGACAGGGGGTTGCTGAGCTATGAAGCAGATTCTGGAGATGGCTGGAAGATGGTCAGCCGTGGGCCTCACGACCGCGGGCGCAGAGTTAAAGGCCGCGGGCGCGGCAGAGAAAACCCGCGGGCGCGGCAATCTGGGCCGCGGGCGCGGCGCTCTGGGTCTAGCGAACTTCTTACCCAGCTTGGAGAGGGCGCGACAGCCTTTTCGGAGAGCCCTCTCCCTTGCTCATTTTCCTCATTATAATATAAGACTATAAATAGTCTTGGGCTTGAGTTTTCAATCATCAACCAATTCATTGCCTTCAAAAACACTTTGTAGAGAGAGAAAATGCATGTCTTTTATAGAGAGAAAACACTTAGTCTTCAAGATTCAATCTTTGTAATCAAATATTCAAGCTTTCTTCTAGATTGTTGCAACTACTTTGATGATTGGGTAATCCTTCAACATTTATAATAGTAATCTTTTCTCTTATTTCTCTAGTACTTAGTTTTATTGTTCTTATTCATATTTTCTTCATAAATTTTTATGCTTTATTAGTTTTATTGATTTCTTTTTGACTTAGAGTCATGCTAGGTTGTGTTAGTATTGAATATATGTTTAGCTTATTTGTCATGGCTTTTCCTTTCTCTAGCTTAGAGTTTTAGCTAGGGAAGGGGGTGAAAATCATGGCTATTTGAGTCCCTATTGATTATTGATTGGATTTTACCTTGAGTTGATGATTTGTGCTTAAATATGCTTGGAGTTATTGTGTGCGCCTATAACCCCAATGTTTTAGTCCTAGATTAGATGCATGAGAATGATCTAGTTAGGGTTAATTGATTTCATCAACTTGCTTCGAGTAGTTGTGCAAATGAATTGCTTTGAGTAGAGTTTGAACTCCTTGGTATATTTCCTTATTGATTTTCATTTGTATCTTGTTGGTCATGATTGGAACCCCTCTCCCTAGTGCTTTTTGCCAATTTTACCTTTATAATCTTGCTCTTCATCTTCATTTTAAAGTGTCTAGTTTAGTCTTCTTAATGTTGGTTTAATTTAGTCTCTTTTGATAGATAGTTGATCATAGAACTCTTCAAAAACCAAACCATAAAACCCCTTTTTGTTACTTGCAATTTATCCTAGATTTCGTATTGATTGTGCAATACCCCCGTTTCCTTGGGATTCGACCCTAACTTGCCACTATCTAAATTAAAATTGTAGAGCTAGGTTAGGAGATAAAAATTGTAAAATTTGATCTAGGTAGTAGTAACGACCTATTATCCATCGATCAATACTTCACCTGTCTTCCGTTTTGCACAAAAAGGTAAATACTGTCATAGACCCTCTGCATTTCTGATTTTTGTATGTTATTGTGTACTACAGGGTAAATATATATAGAAGAATTAGTATTGCTGTTTTGATAGATATAACTGATAAGTGATAATGCTTTAATTTTGCTTCTGAAGTCCTGATTTAATAATCATAGAAATGATGATGATATACTTATAGCCAGCTTTAGGTTTTTGTTCTCTACATTGTTTACAGTCCTATTTCATTCCATTTTAGGTAATTGATTTTTAACACTTTTACCCCATCTTAACCACTGAAGGGCCCACTTTTTCCCCACATGCTTACATTTGCCACTCTTTAAACTCATATTTCCACACTTTTTTCTTTTCTTGGTTCCTATGCAAATAGTAACTGTCCAGAACATTAAGGAACGGAATTAATATTCAATTTGCCTCTCTCTTCTCTCTCTCTCTCCTCTCTCTCTCTCTCCCTCCTCTTTAGTGGTAATTTCCTACTAAGTTCTTATGTTGTTTGTTCCAGTGTACATAAAATGCAATTCTTGTATGAAAATTTATTTGGCTTTCTAAGCATCGCTGTAGTTTTTGACAGCTTGATGTGAAAAAGTGAGTTTAATGAACTGACATAATGTTCACTTGATGTGATTTTTTTTTTCCAACTAACAATTATGCCTGTTTTATTTTGTTCTAAGATAAGCATTCTCGTCGAGGATTGCAAGCGAAGGTACAACAAAGGAAGAAGTTGAAATATCTGAGGAGAACTGACTGGGAGTCCTATTGCTTGTTCTTTCAAAACTTGGCCTCCGTGACAATCCTGATTATAAGAATTAAGATTTTATACAAACTATTAAGTTATTGTTGCGGTAAGGAAATTTTTGCCTTTATTCTTCTTGGCTCCTATATTCAGTTCAGAAGTCCTTTTTTTTATATTTAAATCAAAGGCACTAAGACCACTATCAGTAGTGAGGAAAAAAAAAACCTCTCAATCTCTCTCTACCCACTTTCTCACTCCTCCCATACAATTTCTCTCATCAAATGTTTTTTTCACTACATCAATGAGGAGAAAAAAAAAACCTCTCATCACTTTTTTCCTCCACTATTTACTATACCCCACCATAATACACATCATCTTTTTATTTTATCTTTATTTTTGAAATAATGTTTATACTACATATTTAATTTTCCAATACAATTAAAATATGTGAAAATAATTTATTTTTTAATTACGTTTAAAAATAATTTAATAAAAATGTATAATTTAATAACAATTTATAAGTTTTATATTTACTTTTCAATTATGTTTAAGAATTTATAATCAAAATATATCAAAATGCATGTCTATTTATAGAGAAAAAAAAAAATCTATCCGTTGGTGAATTTTGTTTTTTTTTTTATAATTACAACGGTTATATTTACCTTACAAAAATATAACCGTTGTAATAAAAGCAAAAAAATCTGATTGGTTGGAAGGACAAAAGCCTGACGCGTGTTGCATCCCCATTGGCTGGGTCTGACGCGCGTCAGGCCAGCTACCCCCTTTTTTTTTTCCCTTTTTCCCCCTCAAAACGGCGTTGTTTCGCCCTTCTTTAAGGCAAAACGACGTCGTTTTGCAAGCCAGAAAGGAAAAAAAAAAAGGGAAAGCAGCGTGTACATGTGGGGCCCACCGGTTACTGTTCACGAGTATTTCCCTCAACTCTTGTGCGTTTTCCATAGCTCTCAACGGTGAGGGTTTTTTCCCTCACTAACGTAATGCTCGGTATTTTTTTTTACACCTTTATTTTTACTCGTGAGGGCTTTTTTCCTCACTGCCGGAGTGCTCTAATGGTGCTGAGATTAGAATTATTAATGCATCCTTCCATTCTGTCTTCATTTGTATACAGTACACGAGGTGTTCCAAAGTTTTCATGTAATAAAGTTGAGTGTAACAAACTAGGAATATCAAGTCTAGCCAACGAAAGTCAGATTTTTTGGGGGATAAAACAACATTTGCAGAGTTAAAACTAGCAATATCAAGGAAAGAGTATCTCTAAAGGAGGGGAGTACACTAATAAAGAAGCAAACAAACTGATAGTCCCGTCTTAACAGAAAAAAATTGAACACTAGCCTGGGCCCTTGAAGAGCATCAGAGGGCGATGAGGCTCACCTTCTAGGAAGGGTATCTCCACGCACCCCACACATTATTTGCCAAGGCCTACTTACATTATTTACAAGCTAACACATTCCTTGGCTAGAAATCTGTAACCAAATTATATGAAATGTAAATCAACATTGTTAAGATGAGGTGAAACACAAACAGCGATGCTAGAATCACTTATCCCTGCAGCAACGACGACTAAACAGGCAGCAATGTTTTCCAGTCAAATGAGCACGCGCGGTCCTTTTTCTAAAGAAGTGTACGAAAAGCTAACATTGCTCTTTTTACACCATCAGCATACTCAACAACTAAATCACGTTGAACTATGTCTACCTGGAGCAAGTACATCACCATTATAGCAACTTTGTCAATATATAATCAAATATTGATCAAATTGTCTTTTATAAAATTTAAACCTACAAAATCACATCTTAGTGTACAATAACTATCATAGCACATTGTAGTATAATATTATCCAAAAGTTTTGGTAATTTTTATTTTAATGTAGATAAAGCAAATTGTAGAAAGGTTCGATAACATAATTAGGAACAGGGAATCAATAACAAAAACATAAAGAGTTGGAGTTACCAAATGGGGCGGAGACAGTTTGCTTTGCGAGATGACTCAAAATTCAAGGCGTAAATTGGGGATGTGGCTTATTTTAGAAAAGTCTGTCCCATTTATTTCATCATATCTTTCCTTCAATCCATTGCACGAAAATATATCAAGCACTGTGAGGGAGGGGAGGATTGCTTCTGGCAGCGAGTTCAGTTTCGGAGAACGAGTAATAGAAAGTGACCGCAAAGACTAGGGGCAATGAAGCCACTCCGGGTGGGTTTCATATTTTCACAATCTTTAATACAGAGACTTTGAAGGGAAGTCAAGTATTGAATGCCCTTTGGTAGATCTATCAACTGTGGAAGACCAAACAAGTTCAAGTTAGAGAGGGCGTGAAGGTCTTTCCATGGAAACCCTTTTTCTTCTTCCAATTCCAGGTTAGGACAATACTCAATACAGAGGCTTTTCAAGTTGGTGAGATGCTCTATTCCCGACAGACTCTTTAAGTTTCGGCAACTTTCAAACTGTAGACTACGAATGGAAAATGCGTACTTCCGATGATACTCTTCTTCAACACTCGACAAACTCTCCACCTCCATATGACGCAATCTGAGTTTATCAATGCTTCGTATAGACTCCCCAAAAAGGGACTTAATTAATCCTAAATTGTCTGTTTTTAAATCTCGCAAATCAAAAACATCAACACCAGCTGAATGATTGTCGTTGCTGCCGCTTGAAGACGAGGCAGAAAATGAGGAGGCAGCAGGGGTGGTTGCATTTGCTTCATCATCTCTTTGTTCACAAAATGTAAATGCTTCATTCAGGTCCCGCAGACTAAGACCTTTCAGACGTGGACATCTAGGAAAAGACTTCAACCTAGGACATCCATCAAGTAACAGTTGATCAAGTGACGGAAACGAAAGTGCAACATTATTATCAGACTCCATCAGCTCTACATTGGAATATCTACAAGATGAAGAACTTTCAGATGCTGGAGTTGATTCATTGCTGGCAGATGCTTCTTCCTCGGAATTCATTGAATCGTATGTATATCCCTCTTTAAAACTAACTTCAAGTGTACCTCTAAGGTTAATTAGAGGTACCAAATCTCTTAGTTGCCCCGTCTGGCCTTTCTTGGAACTTTCTGGCCCAAACACAAACCTTGTAAGGGTACGTAGACCAGTCATACTATCCATTCCAATGGCATATGAGTCAAACTAAGGCAATATGTCATCTCCAAATGCTTAAGATTGACTAGTTCCCTCAAGTCCTTAGGCAACTCTTCTAGCCTATAACAACATCTTAGGTTCAATACTTGCAAATTATAGAGTCTACTAATTGACTCGGGAAGCGTCTTCAAATACATATTGAAATAGAGATTAAGATACCTTAAATGCAAAAGGTTCTTTATTGTACTTGTTAAAGCTTTTATCTTAAGCTTGTGCAAGTCCAACACCCTCAAACGCCTGCAGTTTGCTAATATTGTGGACACATGTGATTCACATTCCAGCCAATGATGCCGGAGAAGCGTACGCAATCCACTCAATTTGCTAAAAGTATCACTTGGACTAAGCACCAGAGAGCGCCTAACTAAAATAGCGAGATGACGAGATTTTCTATCAAAAGGGCTTTTGCTAGTGTCCTCCATCAAGTACGACTCCTTTCCTGCAATTTCTTGTGCAAGATCATGAATCAAATCATGCATTTTACAAGAACCTATTTCACCATGATAATATTCAACATCTTGGAAAAAACATCTCTGCAATAAAATTGAAAAATACTCCTCACCGACATCTTCTGTGTTTTGCATATCATTGATAGGTTCAAGATACCCTTGTGCAGACCATAGACGGATCAATAACTCTTTCTGAATCCCGTAATCCTTAGGAAAGAGTGCACAATAAATAAAAACAACTCTTTAATTGTGGCTCAAGGTAATTATAACTAAACTTCAATATTGGCATTATGCTCTATTCACCTTGGACCATTTTAGACAACCCAATTTTCTGAAAAGATTTCCACTTGCTTTTCTCTTGACCATACAACATGCTCCCCACAACCCTTATAGCCAAGGAACATTTGCACATTTTTTAACGATGTTTTTACCAAGGTCCACAAGGTCATCATCAATCTCTCTACTCCCTAAATTAAATGCTACTCTCTTAAACAAACGCCAAGAATAATCATCTGACAAACCTCTCAATCTGAACATTGGATAGTCTCCTATAGCTCCTGCCACCCTTTCTGAGCGTGTAGTCACCACAACTCGGCTTCCTCTCGCACCTACTTGCAAGAAGTCTCTCAACTTGAGCCATTCATCACGACTTTCGTTCCACAAATCATCTGGAATAAGGAAATATTTTTTCCCTTCTATACAATGTCTCACTTTATTCTGCACCCCTTCAGCTCCTATATCACCATGATCTTGCTCAGTGGCCGACTTCAACATCTTACAAAGGATTTCTTGCATGATGAAATCATCAGAGACACAAACCCACAACTTCAAATCAAATTCGTCATTAATTCTAACATCATTGTACACAAGTTGAGCAAGAGCAGTTTTGCCTAGTCCTGCCATCCCGACAATACTCACAAAAGAAACACTATCAACCGAAGAATCTGATTCTCTCAACAACATACCCATAATCTCCTCCTTATCAGTATCTCTCCCAATAATACTATCTTGATGGACATAAGACCAAGTTTCCTCTTTTCTCTTAACTGGCCTATACACATCACTAAACCCAAACTGAGTATGATCTTTAGCAACACCATCTAGCTTCTTTCTAATCTCCTTAATCTCATTACATGTCCTAAAGCGAAAAAGCAACTGATTTTCACTAGAAAAGAAAGCGTGTACCTTTTTCGGAATCTTACTGCCAGGCATCCTTTTATGTTGCTGAGCAACCGTGGCAAACTTGTCGAACAAATCATCAGCTTCATAGACAGCATCCTTGAGCTTGTTAACCCACTCCAACCCCTGATTGTTGAGCTCGAGATGCCGGGAATCCGCATCAAGGAGGACTTTCTGGATGGTTTCGACGGTGCCTCGGAGTGCCTCAAGTTGCGAATCATACTTAAATTTAGAGTAGAACTCTTTCAATTCCTTGCATTGTAATGCTGCAAATAGAGTTTGCGCAGCACCCAACACCATACCCACGGCCACCTCCACTGTCATGATTTTTTTTTTTTAATTTTATTTATTTTTTTTGCAAAAGAGAGGATGAGAATAATTATGATGAGATGGTATGATATAAAACTTGCTAGAACCACAACTGGCTTATCCTTTATACAACTACTTGTAGACGTAGTAAAGTGTTGGGAAAATTCTCCAGATTTTGGCCAGCTTTTTTTATTTTTAATTTTATTTATTTTCTTACAACAGAGAAGATGAAAATAATTATGAGATGGTATGATATAAAAATAGAACCATAACTGGCTTATCCTTTATACAACTACTTTTGTAGACGTAGGAAAGTGTTGGGAAAATTCTCAACAGTTTGCCCACTTTTTCCACAAGAATGATGAATAGATTTCTCCATATACCAACGACTACAATAATTAAGGTTTTAGGATATAATTTAAATAAATTAGCGGTTGGAATGATAATTGAAATGAAACTCCAAAAAAAAAAAGGTCCCTTCTTGCTCCAATCTCTACTCCATATGCCCTCTACATACATACGGCCAATTTGCAATTTAATTAAAAAAATAAAAAAGATAAAATAAGAATGAAGATAAGGTACATCCGTACATGGTACAAGGCTATAAGGTACATGATGATAAAAATGAAAAAAATAATTTCAAAAACAAATTTAAATGAACTATTAAGGTGTATGTCTTATATATAGAGGTGGCCAGTTGGCCGGGTTGGACCCAGCCCACCCTAACTCGCACGGCTGGTGGGTCACGTGGGTCCGACCCGGTTTCAATCCGGCACAGCCCGGCACAGCTCGGATTTAATCCGGGTTGTGTCGTGGGTCCAAAATTTTCGACACAACCCATTTCAACCCAGCTCAGTTTAACCCGTTTGATTCGACCCAAATCGCACAACCCGTTTTGACTCATTTAATTCGACACACCTAGCCCGTGAACCCACCTAACCCGACCCACCTGGCACAACCCAGCCCGCACGGCCCACCCGCACGAATGACCCACCCAACCCGCACGAGCCAACCCACCTAACCCGCACGCATGACCCACCCAACCCGCACGCATGACCCACCCAACCCGCACGGCCGGCACAACCCGCACGGCCCGCACAACCCGCACGGCCCGCACAGCCCGCACAATTCGCACGACCCGCACGGCCCGCACGGCCTAACATCCATTTTAAAAAAAAAACGGCTAGTTTTTTGTATCTAACGGCTAGTTTTTTGTATCTAACGGCTAGTTTTTTAAGTGTATGATCATCCATTCTATTTTTCCTATAAATACCAATTCCATTTCACTCAAATTTCCACACAAATTCAAGCTTTCTTTCTCTCTTACTTAAAAATTCTTATTGTTCTCAAATTCTCAAGTGTTATATAGAGTTATATTTTTGTTAAAAAAAATCTCCTTAATATTATTATTAGTATTCTTAAGATTCTAAAAAAAAAAAGTTCTTCTCCATATTATAATTAGTAATCATACAAAAAAAAATGAGCTCAAGAGGAGGAATGGGAAGGAGTCAAAGTGGTGGTCGAAGTGGTAGCCAAAGGAGTGGTGGTGCAAATTTTTCGTATGAAATTAATACGGAAAATTTAAACCAATTTGTCAATGAATATGGAGATTATGGTTTAGGAGATAGGCAAAATATTCAAACGTCTCCACCACAACATTTCTCCCACGAGTCCCACCAATCATCAAGTTCAACTATGCCACCTCCATCGCAACCAACATCTCAACCTTCATCTCAAGGTAATTTCTAATTAAATTTTTATTGTTATGAATATTTAAAAAAACTATTATTAATGATTATAAAGTTAGTTTAGTTTCCAATTTTCTATGATTTACAATTAGTTAATTACCATGAAAAATGCGTTTAAATAAGTATAATTAAAATATTTAAAATTTAAAAGCTTATTTTCATGAATAGCATTTAAAAATTAATTTTAATAATTTGATTTATGAAAGGTGGTGGCGGTGAAAGTAGAGGTCGAGCACATTTTTCTTGGGTGTGGAAACATTTTGAACGAGTTGAGGTCACACCCCCGGGATGGCAACCTGGTCAACCAAAGAGGTTCACGTGTACATGCCTAGTTTGCAAGGCGCTAGGTGCAAATGTCAAGTCATATAATTGGAAAACGGGAGATGGAACCGGAACCTTGAGTCGGCATTTGCAAAATAAACACGACTTGTTCGAAAATGGCCCCCGTCCTTCGGGGGGTGGCGTCCAAACACAATTGGGTGGATACATGAACCAACCCGGCGGAGGTACACCTTTCATTTATAATAAAGATAAAATGATTGATGAAATGAGTACTTTAGTTATTGCTAATGAATACCCTTTTAGTTACGGTGAAAATGCAAACGTTGAGCATTTTAATAAAGTTGCATTACAACCTGCATTTACTCGTGTCCCCCGAAATACCCTAAGACGTTATACACAAACTTCTTATTATAAGTATAGGAGTGGTTTGATTGAATTATTTCGTACTTTTGATGGTCGTGTTAGTTTTACAAGTGATACATGGACTTCTAGTTTTGGCGAACCTTTTCTTTGCATTACTGCTCATTGGGTGGATGATGATTGGTTTATTCAAAAACGTATACTATGTTTTCAAGCTATGGAAGAAAGGCATACCGGTTTTAACATCAAAGTTTGTATTTTGGATTGTTTAAAAGAATTTCACTTGAATAATAAAGTTTTTTCTTTGTCTCTTGATAATGCAACTGCAAACACAAAGTGTATTGACTATTTGAAAAATGACTCCGAGTTGAATTTGTTGTTGGGTGGTAGTCTCTTGCATGTTAGATGTTGTGCTCATATTTTGAATTTGTCTGTTCAAGAGGGTCTCGCTGAGTTGCAACCATTGCTAAACCCAATTAGAACAGTTATAAAATGGATTAGGATTACTCAGTCAGTTAGAAGAAAGTACATAGCTATGTGTAAAGAGAGAGGTCTTAAGAAAAGACAATGGTCTATTGATACCCCTACCCGTTGGAATTCTACTTTCAAGTTGTTGAGTGATGCTATAAAGTATCGTGATATTTTGACCCAACTTTACAATGAGACTCGTGTTGATCCTACTGAGTTAATAACCGAAAGTCATTGGACTAATGCTTCTTTTGTTCGTGATGTTTTAAATGCTTTTGATAGTGCAACTCATATTTTCTCTTATATTTATGAGCCTAACGTTCATTTAGTCATAATTGAGTGTGTTAAAGTTGTTCACACCATCGAAGAGCATATGAAGATTGATGGACTCGTCCCGTTCTTGATAGCATGAAACGTAAGTGGCATACTTATTTTAGTGAATTTCCAATCATTTATGGAATTGCTGCTATTCTTGACCCCGGTGTCAAAGCTGAAGGTTTGGAAAATCTTTTAGAATTTTATTATACAAGTTTAAGTATCGATTATGATGTTAGTGAATATATTAACAAATGCAAATCTGTTTTGGGAGACCTTTATGATCATTATGCATCTATTTATGGTTTTGATTTGGCAACACCAACTACTACTAGCACTTCCGATTCTAGATTTGGTTTTCTTGATAAAGTTATGAAAAAAAAAACACAAAGCATCTACATCATTCTCATCATCATCTTCTTCAACACTTGCTATTAATGATTATTTGTCATATCAACATGAGACCAACAACAACTTTCAAATTATAAAATGGTGACAAGAACATAAAAAAAGTTTTCCTATATTGGCGAGAATTGCAAAAGATATACTTGCAGTTCCCGCTTCATCTGTTGCTTCCGAGTCTGCTTTTAGTGCAGGTAGAAGAGTGTTAGATGAAAAAAGATCTCGCTTAACTCCGGAAAGCATTCAAATTTGTGTTTGTAAGAAAGATTGGGATCAAGCTGAAAGAAGAACTCAAGGTTTAAAGGAAGACGAAGACGATGAAGATGATCCTGTGATGATATTGGAGTCGTCAACGGATGATGCAGCTTCCGGGGATGATGATGCAACAAACATGGGTGGCTAGAAAAGTCTAAATCAGGTACGCTAAGAACTACGTGGGCTTTGATTCTTTCGGGATACGTAGGCAACTTATTTTTCGAAAATTACAATTTAATTGCAAAATTAAATTTTAGTTTTCTAAAGATAGGTCCAAGCCCCCCCCCCCCCCAAATTTCAAAAGAAGTACAATATAAGAACTACGCTGGCTTTGATTCCTTATTTTATAATATAAGGATACGTAGGCATCTTAATTAAGAGCAAGCCATCAAATTGTTAATTTTGTAAAAATTAAAACACCACACAACCCACCCGACCCTAACCCACGAACCCACCCGACCCTAACCCACAAACCCACCCGACCCTAACCCACCTAACCCACAAACCCACCCGACCCTAACCCACTAACCCACCCGACCCTAACCCACCTAACCCACAAACCCACCCGACCCTAACCCACTAACCCACCCTTCGACCCACCCTAACTCACTAACCCACCTTGACCCGTCTAACCCACGAACCTAGCTCGACCCACCCATGACCCGTCTAACCCACAAACCCAGCTCGACCCACCCACGATCCGTCTAACCCACAAACCCAGCTCGACCCACCCACGACTCGTCTAACCCACGAACCTAACCCTGGTGTGTCCAACTTCTCCGAACCAACCCACGATCCGGCCCACCCTACCCTACGTGTGTCGTGCCGTGTGTCATGAAACCCCAACCCGCGACCCACCTAACCCTAACCCAGCTCGCACGACTCGCACGGTGGACACCTCTACTTATATACATAAGGTATATACTCTTACAGTGAGAACCATATAAGTTACATATTACAAAGATATAAGGTACATGATAAAAATATTTCAAAATAATTTTTTTGAATTATTTTCAAAAAAAAAATTAAATGAAATATTAAGGTATACCAATATATGTCTTATATACATAAGGTATATGTCCTAAAAGTAAAGTAAATGTCCGAAAGGTATAAAGCACATACCCTATATGTTTTTTTTTTTTTTTTGTGAAAAAGTACATACCCTACATGTGTGTAAGGTACATA